TAATATTTCATAACTGTTTATGACTTATACAGCACAAGTCTTTGGTGTGCACTTTGAAGCTGTTTACAGTTTGTCTGTGCTGACTTGGTTTAACCCACATGTGTGAATGTTTTTGTAGCTGTTTAGTGTTACCTCATAAACCATTCACTCCATTCGTCTTTTCTCCCTTTGGTCCAGAGCTCCCTGAGAACTGGACTGACACGAGAGAGACTCTTCTGGAGGGAATGACCTTTAACCTTCGGCATCTGGGCATGACTCTGGTGGACCAACCCAAAGGCGAGGAGCTCTCAGCTGCTGCTGTCAAGAGGATTGTTGCCACTGTGAGTTCTGTCATTTGACATATAGCTCTGATATGAAGATATATCAGTGAGACCCCTAAAACCACCCTAGCAGCCACATAGCAACACAATAAATCACACAAAACACCTTAGAAAACCCATAATCTCCATAGTAATTACACAGAACACCCTAGAATCAAGAACCAAGTTCTGCATGGACAAGCACAAATATGTTATTGTTCATTTGTTAGGCCAAAGCCAGCGGGAAGAAACTGCCTAAAGTGATCCTGAAAGTGTCTCCTCAGGGAATCGTCCTGTGCGACAGTGTGTCCAACCAGCTGATCGAGAACATTTCCATATACAGGTGAACTCCACACACCTCCGGCACGACTTCTCTCACGTTCACCTGCCTGTTAAACATTCACTCGCTGTGCAACTGAACCACATTAGACTACGAAAGGAATGATTTCTGTATGCGTCCTCTTCTGAGAAGTAGTGTGTCTGACCTACAGTGGAGATTTATTATTTATCCTGCCATCCAGTGTTTTACCACACACACACACACACACACACACACACTCACTTCCTATATTTGTTTAAAGAAAAACAGCAGCCGTCAGTTCTTCAGTGTATAACAGTAGTTCAAAAAAACAGTCCTTGAAATTCCAGCGCAGACAGCTGTGTCTGCTCCATATCCATATCTCTGCAAAACATTGTTTTTGTTTACTCAAAACTGACTGCAAGTCCTTAACTCTGGTCTGTTTTATGACCCTTTCCTGCAGGATTTCATACTGCACAGCTGACAAGATGCATGACAAAGTGTTTGCTTTCATCGCTCAGAACCAGCAGAATGAGACGCTGGAGTGTCATGCATTCTTCTGTGCCAAACGGAAAGTGGTGAGTGTTTGATGCTTTCCTTATGAAAGCTGTGAATCTTCAGTCACCACAAAGACTTCTGACTTGAACAAAAGGAGTCAAACAAAGCATGAAGAAGGGGGACAGTTTTTCAGAATAGCTGACTAGATTACTTTGTGTCTGTTGAAGGACAGGCTGTTCTTCAAAGCATAGCACTTCATCCAAAAACATGTCTGTTTAAGGCTAGATGCTGAGGGTTAGATACAAAAGCTTTCCTAGTGAGCCGCCTACCTAGGCGACATCTGAAGGCACCATAAACTTTGTACTACTGATGCAAAGGCGGTTCAGAAAGCGGGGTAAATTCAGAGATACATTATTTTGACTTGAGTGTAAGGCAACATTGCATGTAATCTTCAGAGAACACACTTCCAGAATGCACTGTGACAAGCTTGGTGAAACAAGTCTGTGACTGAAGAGTTTGAGAAAATTGACAATTATAAATCTGTTTTGTTCAATACTGAAAAGTATTGATACAGAAGCAGGTCAACATAATTACTGACCATTTCTAAATCTAAGATTTTACCCAGTATTTGTGTGTGCAATGTATTTTTGCTTATTGAAATGCTGTGCTGTTATTTCAGATGTGATTTTGCAGACGTAAGGCAGCTTGCTAGGTTTCACAACATGCCTATTATATTTTATATGATATATTCAATATATTTCATAATATAATAAATTACATTGTATAAAAATATTATATTTAATATTTCCAGTATAATGTAATACATATAAAATGTATTACCTTATTTATTTACTTGTTTGTTAATTTGGCTCCAATAGTTACCATAATGTGTTTTATGCTCACTTGGTTTCTGAACAGAGCTTTTATGTTTATATATGATATATTCATAATATAATAAATATTTCTTTAGTAATTTTTAGGAAGGTGTACTCATTTTTGCAACACAACATTTTATCACTTATATGTGTATGTATGTGTGTATGTATATATATGTATGTGTGTGCATATATACACATATACATACATATACATACACGCATACATATGTCTCTCTCTCATATATATGAGAGAGAGAGATTCCTAGTTTCTGATCTAGTTGTTTTATTATAGCTTTGTGTGAAAATAAGACTACTTCTGTGCATTTTGGTTTGATTTGAATTAACAATGGTATTTGGTCTAAAAAGTTTGCAAACCACTGATGACTGATGTTGAAATGCATAGATGCATATATGTTGTATCTGTATGTTGTTCTTGTGCGTATAATGTACAGATACTGCAGTCCTCCTCCTTGTCTGACTGACTCGTTGTTGTCCTGTTGTGTTCTCTCAGGCCCAGGCAGTCACGCTCACGGTGGCCCAGGCCTTTAGAGTGGCCTTCGAGTTCTGGGAGGTTGCCAAAGAAGGTACAGCGTGTCATATCTCTCTGCAGAACCATATGGAGGTCGTATGTAACTGCAGAGGATCATACACCACAAGTGGAAAATAATTTGTCACTTTGTTTTGAAGTATATGCTCTCAGAGCATTGAGGCTGTCGTGATTGATTATAGCAGTCAGACCATTGCTCTGTTGCCTTTTCATATTGTAGAAAAGATGGACACGCACGCAATGATTTTATTTGTATATTTGGTGAACCGAAGCCAGTCAATGCATCACAAAGACATTCCTTATATATCTTGAAGTTTACGAATTTTCTAAAATTATGTGACCAGAATACAATGTAAAATTAATACTTAAAGGAATGGAAAATTAGCAAAATGAAAATTTATTCACCAAGATGTAGATAAACAGCTGATAAAAACATCACTATAATCCACACAACTCCAGTCCATCAATTAACATCTTAATGAAGTGAAAAGTGGTGTGTTTGTAAAAAATAAATACTTTATTACGTTTAAATCGTTGCTTCTGGCTAAAATACAAGTCATCTCATCTGAATCAGGAGAGAAATATGCATAGATCAAGCACAGTTTACAAGTGAAAACTGTTCTAAACAAATATTTTGATGTTAGAGGACAACAGGGGATGGACTTTTTCACTGGAGGAAGCGTTATTATGGACCATGGGCTCGCATTTTAGCCAGAAGCAGCAGTTTAAAGTTAAAATGCCTGAATAATGCATTTCTTACAAACACAGATTTTCACTTCACAAGACATTAATTAATGGACTGGAGTTGTGTGGATTATTGTGATGTTTTTATCAGCTGTTTGTACTCTCATTCTGTGCTAGTGATTTTTTTTTCACTTTGGGATGAACTTTTCGTTTAGTGTTCAGTGAAATGTAAGTATATTTTCCTGTTTTATTTTATGGTACAGCATGAAATTAATTCATGTGTTGCTCGACTTTCAGAGAGAGAGAATTGTGTGAAATGGGATTCAGCTGGAGAGACGTCGAACAGCTCACAGTCGGAGAGATCGGTCAGCCTGAAAGGAGGAGGTACAAACTCCTTAAACTTTCTGTGCCTCCTCTTCTATTTTTTTTTTTTAAGGGTGATCTATCCCTTTAGCATTTGACATTAATGGGCTGTTTATCTATTCTAGCAATAGCTACAGATAACCTGTTGGACATTGATGATTACTCCTCTGCTGTGGAAAATGTGGACAATCCTCCCGAACCCAACAACAACAGCACCACCCTATGGGTAAGATCTTGTCCTTGTACACCAGTTTTTCTCTTAAATGAGACTCACATGGAGGATACTTCACGAGTGACTGCTGACCATTATCTTTGCTCGTCTTGTTACAATTCGACTACTATTTTGCTCCTCTTTTCAGGAGATGGATGATGGTCTGGAAGAGGCTTTTTCAAGGTATTGAGGCTGTTCTTATCTCCTCTCACAAGCTTCTGTCTCGTCTAAATCTCTTTTCTATCTCTCAATGAGGGGCAGGAAGGGCAAATCCTTGAGAAGTGAGCTGCATGTGAAAAGCATGCTGATAACCTCTCGCACATCAAGACGATCTCAAACTACAATCTTTCTGTGTTTGTTCTTAAAGATTGTTGGAACCGTTTGAAATATTAATTTTAGTTTGCTACTTTGCTCCGCATAACGTCCTGAACTTTTGATTAATCATCCAGAGCAACTGAGCAAAGGCACTTTTCCCATACTGATGTCTCATGAGACATATATTTTCTCATTTTATTTGTTTATTCTTCACAGAACCAAGCTAAAGCTTTTGCTCTGCAATTGGCCTTCAATTATTTATTTCTGATGGCATACAGATGAAAAACCTGACCTGAATATTAGTGCTTTATGAGTACAAATGCTTTCAATTTTATTTGATTAAATCCACCAGAAAGACTGAACATGGAATGCTTGGAAACGTTTCCTCAACAAGCTTCTTATTTATTTTATTTCCTTTCTACTGCTGTTTTTGTCTACTGTTGTCAGACTTATAATGGTTGCTATGAATAATTGATAATGTAAATAAGACAATTAATTAATGTGTATAATAATAATAAACAATTATTATTAATGATTTTTTGTAGAACTGAGCAAATAAATTATAAGAAAAATTGAGATTAAGTAATTGTATATAATACATGTGTTTTCCTCAACAAGCTTCTTATTTATTTTATTTCCTTTCTACTGCTGTTTTTGTCTACTGTTGTCAGACTTATAATGGTTGCTATGAATAATTGATAATGTAAATAAGACAATTAATTAATGTGTATAATAATAATAATAAACAATTATTATTAATGATTTTTTGTAGAACTGAGCAAATAAATTATAAGAAAAATTTTGATTAAGTAATTGTATATAATACATGTGTATAATAATAATAATAATAATAATAATGAAGTAGCTAACACCGCATTTAACTTGTCATGTCTACTGGAAGATTAATATCAAAAACTCTTTCATGGATTATCAACTCCTTTAAAATAGAACTGTGTTTCTTAAAGGGGTACAGAGAAACGTCCTGCGGCCCTTAAATGTTGTGCTCTCTCTTTGTTCCTAGCTGCAGTTTGGATAGCTATGAGTACTCTCCAGGTAACAAGTACAGGTCCAGTCCTGTACCAATCCAACCTAAGCTCAACTTCCACCCGCTCCATACCCAAATCTGTGTCCCGTTTATATACTGTCTGTCAGTCTGTTACATCATTCCCCTCCCCTGTTGTCTTCCAGAACCCTGCCAACTTTCACTGATCAACCCAACCAAATTAGCATCCTGGGCTGGTACTGACCCAACACATAGATCTGATTGTGAATTTGATGGCAGGGTTCTGCAATGATCCATATTTAAATGCAATGTGCAGGACATGGTGTCTTGGTGATTTTTCCCCCTCCTAAATGTTTTTTTACCCTTAAGGATTGTTTCCTTCAATATCCCATCATTCTTAGTCTAGCCAGTTTGTATGTTATTTCTGTGTTTTCATGTTGTTTTGTTGTTAACCCTGAACATAACCCTTAGTTAAATGTGTAATACGATTACTTTGTACTGCATGTCTTCTAACCTTACAAATAAAACCATACCCGTTGTTAGCATAGTAAATAACATAGCTACCAACCAAAATGAAAATTTGCTGAAAATGTATTCACTCTCAGGCCATCCAAGATGTACATGACTTGTTTCTTCATCAGAAAAGATTTGGAGAAATGTATCATTACATCACTTGCTCACCAGTGGATCCTCTGCAGTGAATGGGTGCCGTCAGAATGAGACAAACGGCTGATAAAAACATCACAATAATCCACACGACTCCAGTCCATCAATTACCATCTTGTGAAGTGAAAAGTTGTGTGTTTGTAATAAATCCATCAAGATGTTTGTAACTTCAAATGAATCCTCTGTCCATAGTATCGCTCTGTCAACAATCAGAAATGTACAGAGATCAAGCTTTATTCCTCCAAGTGAGGAAGCGTTATTTCAGATAATGGACTCATATTTTGGCTGGAAGCAATTGTTTAAAATTAAATGCCTTATTCATGTATTTATTTTTTTCATTAAACGCAGCTTTTCACTTCACAAGGTGTTAATTGATGGACAGGAGTTGTATGGATTACTTGTGGATTATTGTGATGTTTTAATCAGCCGTTTGACTCATTCTGACGGCACCCATTCACTGCAGAGGATCCATTGGTGAGCAAGTGATGTAATGCCAAATTTCTCTAAATCTGTTCTGATGAAGAAACAAACTCCTCTTGGAAAGCCTGATGGTGAGTAAAGTTTCTGGAAATTTTTATTTTGAGGTGAAATATTCCTTTAATGAAACCTTTAGACCCATATGGGCAATTCCAGCATTACAGATGTGACGAAATCAGGGGGTTCATTTATATTTTTCTGTGGTTACGTTAAAATGTGGTAACATTTTAATGGAATTGCTCGTATGTTAATCAAACCTGTACATCTACATCACTGAAGAGTTTTAGCTTTTTCAGTTGAATTAGTCTGTCTCTTTCCCCATAGACTTGCTGAGTCTCGTACTAACCCCCAGGTCCTGGACATTGGGCTGACACCTCAGGACTGGAACTCTGAGACCGATTGGGACAAGACCAATGGAAACGCACCAAACGCAGATGAGCTCTTCAGCCTCTGAGCACAGATAGGTTTGTGGGAAGAAGTAGATGTGGGAACCTCATGCAGGAGTCTGCTGTCAGTTGAGAGGGCAGCACACTGGTTCTTCTCATCTTGATCATCTGGTCCATCACACCAAAGCAATAGCAGATGAGTCTATTTTTGCAACAAACAAAAAAACTATACTATGCCACCTGAGTTTACATGCTTTATTTTTATCAATTCAAATGTATACAGAATAATGTATGTATATACCAGAATCAGTATTGTTTTCATGTATGTTTATCATATGATATATAGCATTGTGTATATTCAGGTGCACTATAGAGCTACTGTAAGGTCTAATCCTGTAGTTTGCTGCTTTGAGATCCATTTATCACCACAATTCGCTTCATTAATGATAACATTGAAATTAGCATTAAATTCACAGTACAGCTTCTCTTTAGCATCTTATGATGTCTATGAGTCATATTTCAGTATTTAATTAAAAAAAAAATCCAGACTGTATATGATTGTTATAACACCCAAAGGGGCCATTTAATATTTCTCAAAAAAGTATAATAAAAGTGTTAATATTATCTAAGAATTGATCTCATTATTTATTTTAATTTTTATGTGCATTGTATGTGTATTTCATTATACAGTATTCCATCATTATTATCATCATCATCATTAATATTATTCCTTAATATGTCATTATCTGTAACATTTTATTTTATAATTAAAAATTATATTGTATTCATCCATATTCTAAACTACTTGTCCTATGTAGGGTCGTTGGGATTATGGAGAACATTATATCTCTAGGAGATGTTATTACATTATTTTTTAGCTTTAATAACTTAATTATTAATGCATATTTTAAACATGAATTTGTCACATTGCTACACCATCCATTTAATTCAGTCAAAAAGCTGCTAAATATGAAATGATAAAAAAATGAAGATTAAAGATTTTTCAATTTAAATAGGAAATCTTGTTAATATTACATTTTTTAAAAATACATAAAACTTGTCTATCCAATAACTACATTCTTTATCCTATAACGGGTAATTTATTGTATTTTTATTTTTTAACTATTTTTAGTCAACCAGGAGAGGGCAGCATTGCCTTCTAAAATTCTCTGGCTCTTTATCTCCATTTTAGGCCTTTGTGTGAAATTGTGTTCTTGTGCATGAGGTGGATTTTTCACTTTTTCTATATTCGTCCCAGATGGCACAAAATGCACTTGACACATGTAGAGCAGCTGCAGCAGAGTCTATTTGAAATGCCACAGGAGAGATGATGCTTTAGTTTACTGAAGCACACATTCGGCATGAGAAATCCCTGTATTCCTCACGAATGATGGTTATTGTGGCGGTGGATGGCAATATATTGGCAAGAGGACCCTATACTTCACCTGAAAACCTCAGACCTGTAAACCAAATCCCAAGAAAGTCTTATTGAGCGCTCACTGAATATTAATGCAATACAGATTTTATATATTAGTGTCATTTCCTGTAACCCATGAGAAAGCTTTTCTTAAGTACGTGCAATTTTGTTTGTCAACATGGACTAACTTGACCTTTGTGCTGCTAAAAATGGATGCAATTTTCCTGTATTTTTTGCTTTGGCTTATAGACTCGAACCCAAGCGGTTGATTATTGGTGGCTGTGTGTGGTTGTTGCGTACATGTGTGGAGTCAGGTGTGCATGTGGGTTGAATCGTGTGACGCAAAGTGCTCAAGAGAATCCTTGACACACACTCACACACACACTCGAGCGAAAACGTGTCTAAAAACGTGTGGGAGGCTCAGAGCTTCAGAAACCCGGCTCTCCTCTTGTAGTTCTCCCCTCGTGCACACCGTATCCTCTCGCCTGAGGACTTTCCCACAAACTTAATTTGCATTCATTCTGTAATGTCTCCTCGAAATTGTTTGAAATGTTCAAGTTATTTTCTGTCTCTCGTATATATATAGGTGAATTGTGGGTGAAATGCCATCGATTTCGCCAAGATCTGTAGTTGAGAACGGATGAAGCTTACGCTTTCCAGCCAGTAAAAATAGATTAAACCTAAAGGGCAGAAAGTCCGGAGTGCACAGGCATCTGTATTGTCTGTGAATGGCTGATGGGATTTTGCTTACACTTTAAACACACCAAGGTTGAACAAGATGTATGGGTTGATCACAGAGAGTTGTTCGAGAATGTGCGGCCCATTACGTTTTACTTTATTTTTTACCTTAGAAGCCATCTTCTATAATTCACTGCTCAGTTGCTGAGTAATTTTGATCTAACTCCCATCCTTTGTGTATGTTTGACCCAGATGAATAGCTCCGATCTGGGAAGTTCCTACTGCAGGTCTTTAATTTACGCCGAATGGATGATATTTCTTTCCGTTCAGCTAGTTTTCTGTAGTGCTGTATTATATGGAGTGCATAGCAGATTTCTTTAAATTACCATAAAACATTTTTTAAACAGTCAGTGAAGTGTTATTTCTTCATTAGTCAGTGATGGCTTAAAGGGATAGTTCACCCAAAAATGAAAATTTGATGTTTATCTGCTTACCCCCAGGGCATCCATCTTCGTTTGTGTTCTACTGAAGAAACAAAGTCACCTACATCTGGGATGCCCTGGGGGTAAGCAGATAAACATCAAATTTTTCATTTTTGGGGGACTATCCCTTTAAATACAGCTTGTCAACTTTATTTTTTTTTTTTTGAAGAAGAAGAAATGGTTTGGAGGAAGTCCAGAATTAAACCACCAGGATTTGATTGTTAATTTGATGAGGCAGACTGTTTTATTGGTATTTTAACCACAAACATAATGCACAATGTGGTCCCAAAATATATTTGGATGGTTAATTTATGAATGTCACTGCATTAGATACAAAATAACAAATGAGTGGCATTTATTTGAAAGAAAACACACTTTTTAAGCCAACAATGTGAAGCCTTTTTTTGCACTTTGTGGTTGTGAAACATTGGCGTGACATGTTGATACAGTAGTTAATGTGATGATCTACACCTGTGGTTTCTCTTGATCGCACACCTGTGACAATTTCAGGAGAACTGACTTCATATACTCACTAAAAATGACCCAGTTATACGGACCAGTTGATTAAAAGTAATTACAAAAACTATAAAAGTGATATTTTGTCATCTAATGCAGAGATATTCATACTTCTAGTAATTATAGTCCATTTTTCTGGAAGACTATGTTCACTTATAGTCCATTTCTGATGAAGTGCCTGTGCAAGTGCAGAGCTCCTCCATAAAGCTGGTTTCAGGCCAGCTGACTGAACATTTGCTTGCTGTTTCAGATCAGTGCTGTGCGGTCACTGAAAATCTTGCATTTACCTCATATGAGTCTTGTACATCTATTTTTATCTTTGTTTAACTTAAACGTTTGGTTTTCTGAGATGTATCCCACGCTTTTGCAAATTCAATTAATAGCTGATTAACATTTGATTCGGTTTTGCGAACTACAAAAAAGGTTTGTGACAGTCTTGAAAGCATGCAAGAATGTGCTGGAAACCTCAAACCAATAATGCTTTGCATCATATGGCATCGTTTTCTAGCAAAATCGTGTTTCTGAATTTATGGATGTAGATTATAGTTGAATAATTAGTTTCCAGCTTGTTGCAAATGTTCTCTAAAGAAATAGAGAGAGAGATTTTAGAGATTTTTTTTGTCTTAATATATTAATTGTTATTTTTGTCTTTAGATATTATTTTATAATTTATATATATATATAATTTTTTTTTTTTTAATGTTACAATAATTTTTTCTTTCTCTCTATAGGGGAGAAATGTACAGTTTCAAGAAAATATAAAAATGCTTTGCTAAAAAAAAAACTGAAAATTCAATTGGAAATTGTTTGAAGGAAAATTTTTTACAGAAAACCCTTATTTTGTAGCCCACAAATGACCACCTTTTTACTAAATGAATGACCAATAATAAATTCTATAAAGTGGAGAGAGATTATACAGTAGTTTCTACAAAATATACAGTAATGGGTTACTA